AAAACGGAGAAGTAGAAAATGGAAACAATTGTGTCAATTTACTCGCATTCAATTATACTTGATGCGGAAGGGAAGGCCGGCGTCCATTCAGCCTCGATTTGTCAATTAGCTTCACCGTCAAGCATGTCCGCTCCCCCCCCCCTTCCCCCTTCCCCCTCCTCTTTCTTTCTCTGTCTCTTTTTGTCTCCTGTTTTCGCTTTCTATTTCTCTTTGTTTATTTATTTTTTTTTATTCTCTCCGTCTCTCATTCCTTCCTTCCTTCCTTCCTTCTTTTCTCTCTGTCTAACTCCTCCCCCCTTCCTCCCTCCCTCTCTCTCCCTCTCCCTCTCCCTCTCCCTCTCCCTCTCCCTCTCCCTCTCCCCCTCAGCAACCCCTCCCCCTCCCTCGCCTCCTCTCCCTCTCCCTCTCCCTCTCCCATTTCCTTTCCCTTTTCCTTTCATTTTCCTTTTCCTCTTCCTCTCCCTTTCCCTTCCCTTTCCCTTTCCCTCTCCCCCTCCCCCTCCCCCTCCCCCTCCCCCTTCCTCTCCCTCTTTTCGTACCTCTTGTTTACCGCCCAACCTCCCCCCCCCCCCCCTTTTCACACCCCGCGCACCCAAACACACTCACACACACACGCTACGAAGGGAACGGAAGTTTACATGTTTGGAAAATCGATCCCACCAACGCATGGTCTTTTGACCCCTCCCCCCCCTCTCCCCCTACTTTTCCCGACCTTCCCTCTCCCTCTCCCTCCCCTCTCCCCTCCCCTGTCCGACCTTTTCCCCTCTTTTCCTCTCCCCAACTTGCCCTCTCTCTCCCCAACCTTTTCTCTCCCCTCCCCCCTCTCCCCCCCGACTTTCCCATTTCTCTTCCCTCTCTCTCCCCTCTTCCCCCTCTCTCCCCTTTCTCTCTCCTCTCTCCTCTCTCTCCCCCTCTCTCCTCCCGACCTTCCCTCTCCCCTTCCCCTTTCCCCCGACCTTCTCTCCCCTCTCCCCAATACCTCCCCCCCCCGACTTTTCCCCTCTCTCCTGCTCCTTTCTTCTTGAAGTTGATCCTATTTTTTTCTATGTCTATTGACTATTCCTTTCTTTTCTTCTCTTTTATCTCCTTCTGTTTCCTGTCCTTCTCTCCATCCCTATTTCGGTCCAATTCGCCTTCTTCTTCTCTCTCTCTCCTCATCTCTCTCGCTCTCTCTCTCTCTCTCTCTCTCTCTCTCTCTCTCTCTCTCTCTCTCTCTCTCTCTCATCTCTCTCTCTCTCTGTCTCTCTCATGCGAGCTTCTCTCCCTCCCACCCCTCATTTTTCTCTCTCTCTCTTCCCCCTCCTTCTCTCCCTCCCGTCCCCTTCTTTTCTCTCTCTCTCTCTCTCTTCCGCCTCCTTCTCCCCCTCCCCCGCATCGATGCTTCTAAACAGCTCTAACTGAATACCTCTTCCCCCCCTGTCCCCCTCCCCCTCCCTCCCTCCCACTCGTAAACACCGGTAACACCCGCCCTTCCGACCCCTCTCCCCCTCCCCCTCTCCCCTCTCCCCTCTTCCCCTGTGACCCGACGCCTCTGCACTTCCTCCTCCTTCTCCTCCTCCTCCTCCTCCTCCTCCTCCTCCTCCTCCTCCTCCTCCTCCTCCTCCTCCTCCTCCTCCTTCTCCTCCTCCCTTCTTCCTCTTCCCCACCTCCCCCTCCTCCCCCTTCTCCCCCCTTCCCCTCCTCACCCCACCTTTCCCCATTCGTCCCCCTCACCCGCTCACACACGAGAGCATCCGTGTGTGTGTGTGTGTGTGTGTGTGTGTGTGTGTGTGTGTGTGTGTGTGTGTGTGTATGTGTGTGTGTGTGTGTGTGTGTGTGTGTGTGTGTGTGTGTGTGTGTGTGTATGTGTGTGTGTGTGTATGAATGTGTGTGCGTGTGTGTGCGTGTGTGCTTGCGTGCTTCTGTCTGTGTGTGCGTCTCTCTTTCGGTGTATACATTCTCGTCTTTATGTGTGTATGTGTGCGTGTTGGTCCCTGCCCGTTCGCCGAGTCACCTGAGTGTCCCCCTTGACATTACTGACGGATCTCGAGGTACGATCTCTCGCGCTTCTCCTCCTCCTCCTCCTCCTCCTCTTCCTCCTCCTCCTCCTCCTCCTCCTCCTCCTCCTCCTCCTCCTCCCCCCTCCTCCTCCTCCCTCCCCCCTCCCCCCTCCCCCCTCCTCCCCCTCCTCCTCCTTCTCCTCTTCCTCTTCTTCTTCCTCTTTTTCCTCCTCCTCCTCCTCCTCCTTCTCCTCCTCCTCCTCCTTCTCCTTCTCCTCTTCCTCTTCCTCTTCCTATTTATCCTCCTCCTCCTCCTCCTCTTCCTTTTCCTTCTTTCTTTGGTCATGTTTTAAACTTTTTTTCGTATTTATTCTCGTTCTTGTTCGTTCTATTCTTATTGTTCACTTCTACACTTTTCTTCTTATATTTCTTAGTCTTCCCTTCTCCTCTTCCTCTTCTTCTTCCCTCTTCCTGTCAGTTCTCAAAAGATAATCCCTCCTTCCTCTTACTCCCCTCTTACGCCCCTCCGTCATCTTCCTCCCTCCCCCACCTCCTCCCTCCCATCATCCCTCCCCTCCTCCCTCCCCTCCTCCCTCACTCCCATCCCTCCCCCTC